CTTCTATCTATCTATCTATCTATCTATCTATCTATCTATCTATCTATCTATCTATCTATCATCTTTATCTAATATATCTTTATATTTGAAAGTATTACAGATGTCCACCCTTTTTCCCCTATTGACCTCCTCCACCCTGCTCCTGCCCCCTCCCCAGGCCTTCATGGCACTATTGTCTATATCCAAGGGCTATGCATACATGCATATAAATTCTTTGGTTAATCTCTTCTCACCCCATTCATTCATTTAATAACGTTCATTGAACAAATAAGAACTTTGCTAGACAATAGGCACACAAAGTTGGAAAGATGCAGATTCCCTCAAGGATTTAATAATCTATTGTAATGAATCTCCACTTAGGCAAAATTTGATTATGCAATGCAGATTTTATCTATAAAAAGTGGTTGGCATGTTAATTCACATACATTTATGAATATACTTCACAACTTGTCTATATCTGATTATGTACTTTGGGAGCCAAAATGACCCATGGCTTTAAATAACATTTATACCCTCATGGAGCCCAAACATATATCTGCCTAAACAAAGAAATATCTATGAAGCAATCAAGTTAACACCCAAACCAGCTCTGATAGACCCCTCAGCTTGCTCGTTCCTCAATCTGACAACTTTCCAGCCCCTTAAAATAGCTTGATTTAGTTTGGTAGAAATATCTTTCATTTTTATTTGAATATTGGAACCCTACATTTATATCATAGAATTATAGAACTGAACAGAACAATGGGTATTAAATAGTTTAATATTCTTGATTTATAAATAAGAAAGTTACACTCAGAGAATTTATGCCCAAGGTCAGTCAGGAAGAAGTAATGATATTTTTTAAAAATTGAATTTATTTAATCTACTTAAATAATAAAGTATTGAGATGTTTTTCTGAAAGGACTTAACAATTTTAAAATGTAAACTAGAGAAAATACATGTGAAAATAGAAAATTTGGGCCCTAGTAAAAGACAATTTTAAATTTTAGAATGTCATTAAATTTTATGAAATGTCATGGTATATGCTTATTGGTTAGGGGACTATTTCAGACATGTTCTGAACAATGGACAGTCTGATCTGACCAAAACTCAGAGGTGCACAGGCCTCTGGGATATAATTTACTTTCAATAGCAATTCATCTTCCACATAAAACACTGCCAAACACTTGTGCTTGAAGTTTATTAGATATTTGCAATAGGCTGAAGCTATTTGGAATTGATAAGAAAATACATAGATTTGTTTTTTTTAATTTGTTAGGCAACTGCTTCTGAATATTTTTTTATTTGAGATGATTAATCTTTGGAGACCTGTCTGTAGACACAGGGCACTGCATTATAAATCACATCTTATTTTCATTCATAATGAATGAAATGATGTTCATTTTTTGGACATGATTTATCATTTGCAGATTGTATCTGCTCTCTGTGTGGGCTAGGAAAATAGATGGATTGTCTTATTAAAAATTCTTCACCTTTCGCTATTATATTCTCTGCATAGCCAGAGAAAACCATGAGCAGTGTCTCCTCCATACCCCAATATTAAGCTGTATTGAATTACCGATGGAAAGAATGAATTCCTGTGTTATAAGATAAGCAAAATACATGCCAGCATCTGGACTTTTCAAACCATTTTATCCAGGTATCATTTGATCTGTAATTTTTTAAGGACAACGACTTGCTATTTACATATACTCTGTCTTCTTTCAGAAGCACGGTGAGTAATATAGGTGTTATGCCTTGAGATAAGGGTTCTTTTTTTTCCCCAGATGCAATTCCCTCCAGCTCTCTGTGATATCTAATCTCAAAGTTAAAGCAGTTGCTACTCTTTTATGAAATGTCACTCTCACTGCCTGATAGGTCTCTGTTCCCAGACTGCTATTGTGAAAGCTGGTCACCAGGGCCATCTCTACTGTCTGGTGCCAATGGTGGGATGTCTGCTATAATCCTAATAGGATTACTCAGAAGAGGCTGTAAGGGAACTTAAACAAACATCAAGAACAAATAGGATTCAGGGTTTTAGAATCAGAGCAGCACTGCCAGCTACTGTCTGTGTGTCTTTGAACAATTTACCTGTATGAGCTGCAGATTCCTTGTATGCACAGTGGGGATAAAAACAAAATGCATCTGAGGGTTCAGTGAGCACCAGCGTAAAGAAAAGCTTTCATAACTGGTGGTTATTGCTGACATCACACATAACGTTAGGGAAAATACATTAATCTTTCTGACCTCAGACTTCTCATCTGTAAAGTGGGGACTGAGAATAGTATTTTGGCAGAATTTCTCTGGGTCTTTGATATAATGTATGTAACAGCACAGCGCCTGGATGTAATAGGCAATCAATCATTTCATTGAATCTGCCAATATTTCTTTGGCCTTTTATTTTTTAAACATCCTTGTCAATGAATATTTACTTAGTAAATATAGTTTTAGGGGATTGCTCAGAGTGAAAGTCTGGGCAAATAAGCAGGCAGTACAATGTATAGTTAAGAACACAGGTAATCAAGGCTCTAATCCCAGCTCTGCCACTTACTACTCTTATGACCTTCAGCAAATCTATGACCTCTCTGTGCCTTAGGTTCCTTACCTTAAAATAGGGATGTTGTAGTGCCTATTTTTCCAATTGTTGTAAGGGTTAAATACATGAATATATAAAATACTCTTCCAGTAGCATCTGACAACAGTAAGTGCTAAATAAGTACCTCTTATCATTATTCCCTGAAAGAAGGCCCCCAAAATTAACTTCTCAAATGGATACACCCACGGATGCAGGCTTGCTTGCACTCCCGCATTCACTCACTCGCACATAAACGTGTCGACCTTGGTTGGCCAAGGCTGAACAAGAACAATAGTTTACCCAGCATCGAATTTAACTGAGGAATTAGTTAAGAACTATGTGGAAAATGGATTCTAATAAAATAAATTATTTTTCCTTCTTATAGGGAGGATGACTATTATATTGAAGACACACCAATTTATGGTAACTTAGATAATGTGGTTCCAGGTAAGTTTTAATTTTTTCAGAAATTAATTTACTTATAAATTAATACTCACCCCGACACACACACTTAATTCCACAAAGAATTTGAGGTGGCTTATTTTTTGTCACAATCACATTTAAATATCTCAATGATAACCATAAATTCAAGAATGTTTAGCATATCATTTACTATGTATTCCCAAAGCCACACTTTATAAATTTTATCTCAACATTTGTTGTAAATTAACATCCTGTTTTCTGTGTGCTCTCCATTTCAGTCTAGTAGTGATGAGAACACAGGAAGAGCCTATTACCATGAATTCTGACACACAGAATTCTACGAATACTATTTCTAGAACAGAAAGTGGCCCACCCAGGGAAACAGTACTTTATGCACAGCATACAAAAGCAAAACTACAGTGAAATATCTGGAATAATAAATACGTTTTCTGGTTTCCCTTATGTTAACTTGTTCTTTGTAAGTTAGAGAACCTGGGGCTATTTTCATGGCAAGTAGGGAAAAAGAAGAGCTAAATCATCACTGAGTGGGTTATATATTTTTGTTCCTATGTGACAGGTACTCATCAATTCCCCGCATCCCTTATTATTCGAAACATCCCAACCGCTCCAAAACAAAACACTCTATATTCCACAAAACAGACACCTGTGATCTGATCCCAGAGCTCTGATGAGAGGAGGCAGGAGGGTGATGTGAGCATTAAGCCCATCCTTGCCCTGCAAGCAATTCACTTAATTCATGACAAGAGAATTGGGCTTCACTCCTGTGGGTCTCTGAGTCTCGAGCACAGAGATGTCCAGGAATGGACTAAATTGATATGGATCTCTGTATATCAAAATAGCGTGGAATTCTCCTAAAGTTAGAAATGTGAGAGTTTTATAGGATTCAAGAGCTTATATCATTGTTGTCTTTCCTCCATTGTAACATGCCTTCTGATCTCTGCAATCTGAGGATTAGGAACTGTTTTTCAGTAATGAACTATTAAAATGAATTTCCCCCCCTGTTTCACCTTGCAGGATTGTGGTGGTCCCCTATTAGATTTGAGGACTTCATTTATTATGTATTCTGGTTGCTTGAAGCCACCATATCTCTAATTTCCATATCTAAGTGAGCACAGGGTTACCCCCACAGGTTCTGATGTAGGAGGTCCAGGATAGGGCCCAGGAATCTGCTATTTAACACACCTTCCAGGTGATTCTAATGCATGTTTTCCATGAACTATATGCTTTGAGAAATATCACTCTATGGACCCTTTCTTTAGTGTTGTTTTCAGAAAGGGCTGCATAATTATGAGGTACCTTGTATTATAATAAATATATCTTTTTTTCTATGGGGTCAAATTGGGGCCGTTCACATGTTACTGGCCATTCTACCAGTCACTAACTCTCTTTCCTCTGCATTTAATTTATTTGTTTACTTATTTACATATTTATTTAAATTTTTAAAAATCCTAACCTGAGGATATTTTTTCCATTTCTTTTTAGAGAGAGTGGAAGGGAGGGAAGGAGGCAGAGGAGGAAGAGAGAGAGAGAGTTTGAGAGAGAGAGACTGAGAGAGAGAAACATCCATGCAAGTGAGACACATAGATTGGTTGCCTCCCACATGAGCCCAGGATTGAAACTGCAACCCAGGTAGCTTGTCCCCACGGGGTGAAATGAGTACAGGCCTGCTGGCTGGTGATACTGCACAAAAACTCCAAGTATTAGAGTCAGCCTCAGACAGCCTGCCTTCAGAACAGCCTGGCTGCACTGTCCTGTCACTGATTTATGGAACAAAAATGATAACCTAAATTCTATTTTTCAAAAGTAGGATGTAGGGTTCAGAATGCCTCTGAGTAAAACTTCTTACTTATGGAGAAAATCACCGAATTGTAGTCATCAATGCAGGTGTGCTGTGCGTATACATCATTTGCAATCAAACTGAAGAGAACACAGCCCAAAATTTAGCTCATGGGATCTCTATAACATCTAAATGGTAGTTTGAGACTGTCATGGCCTATAATGGTATTTAAAAAAAGGACTATGATCTAGTCGTTACCCCAAGTGACATCCTTTTGTCTTATTGTTAATGCTATGGGGCAAAAGACTTCACTATCTGACCTGCAGAGAAAAGTTAGTACTTTCTTACCTCTTTCCACCTTCATGAAAAAGACAAGTTAAATGATTCTTGGGGGTTTCTCATTTACACCTAAATGTTGTTTGGGTCATATTTTTTACTTGTTCCAGCATAATTTGTTTTTCCATTGTCAATCATAATATTTTCAACTCCCAAGAACCGATGGATGAAAATTGCTATGAACAAATGAAAGCCCGACCAGAGAGGTCTGTGAATGAACGGCAAGCTGCCCCACCGGCGCAGGTGAGTTTTGTTTTCTCTATCAAGGGTCTCGTCTAGATCACAGCACAGCTGCAGGTTTCAAGAGCAGAGAGGGAGCGCATTCTTGATGCACAACTAGAGCAGGTGATAGAAATTTTGCAGTGAATGTGTCAAGTTCTAGGACCTGAGGTCTAAAGGAAAACTCAAAGGCAAGTAAACGCTACTCAGACCCACATTCAGAGTCCAAATTATGTACAATTCAAAGGCAACAGATTTGAATGGAAAGTGAATTCTCTTCCTAAATAGTCAATTTAAGCTTTTACTTTTAGATTGAAAAGAATTGTGTGTGTCACAGAGATAAATATGAAAGTTGGCACACAGATAAGGCTCGCAAAGCCTAGGTGTTAGGAATTTATGGAGAGGGGGGAGAGAGAAAGAGAAGGAGGGGGGAGAGGGAGAGAGAAAGAGAGAGAGGGAGAGAGAGAGGGAGAGGGAGAGAGAGAGACGGGCCTTTGGTTAAAAGGTAAATTAGCCAGATATAAAAGACTATACTTCTATTTCACAAGACAAATGAGTGTAAACTTTAATACAATTCCAATGACTTTGGTCTTACAGCAAGAGATTTATTTACACACAGCTTAATTAGGGATAGGCAGGGCAAGAGCTTAAGCAAAATGTATAAAAACCTAAGAAGAAATGTAGAGCTTCTCCTTTTCCTACCACAGTCAGCTCAGCCTCCTCAGACAGAGCACTGACTTCCTCAAAAGCCATTTACATGCTACTGAAGTATAAATTTCAGTTAAAACAACTTTTATTCCTTCTCTTCCCAGATCTTGTTTCTTCAATGATGTGCACTCTTGCTACTGTCTAGAAGCAGCCATAGGGCCAGTATTTCCTATGCAGTTGTGATGTGTCAGGCTTGTATTATGTGCTTTATATGCATTATCTTCTTAGATTCCTATGAGGAGGCAGCATTTTTATTCCCATTTGACAGTCTTGAAAATGATGAAAAACTTGCCCCAGAGCACTCAGGTACTAGGTGGGAAGACAGAATCTAAACTTAGTCTCTCCTAACAGAAAATATCCTCCTTCCTAAGATGGGTCACATCTTGGAAACTTCCCAATAAAGTAGAATTTTTCTGTTTTTCTTTATATGAGCTCCCTACACAGTCAAAAATTCTTGAAATTTTTATTAAGAAAGCAAGATGTGGTAAGGTTTAAGCAAATGTATAGTCGCCCTCTGATGGTCAAATCTGTCATCTGATATTCAATTAATTGTAAAATGTATTTTTAGATAGAAGCTATGAAAAACTGCATGTTATGATATGACCTGCTAAATTCATGCTAACAAAAAGAAAAGCTCTAAAAGAAGGTTAAAACATAACCAGGCCACCTGAAATGTAGAGATTCACAGCACCTTAGCTGTAAAAAAACCAGAATTTGGAATAGAAATTGCTATTTAATAGATATGAATTGAACAAGCCTTCTTTGTTTGAGCTACATCTGCTTTTTACTAAAGTCAAAATTGTGCAGAGCCTTAAAAGGTCTTTAAAAGTCTGTTGTTTTATAAATTATATGATTAAAGATACTCTAAGGAGATTAGCTTTTATTCTATTACACCCTTCTCACAAATTTAGTTTCATGAATTAGAAGTAATTTCTTTATATTTACTCAATTCCATTTTATTAGAATGATGATTATCATCAAAACACTGCCAAGTTTGTTACCACAATATGTACTTTGTTACTATAATCAATTACAAAAGTATAAGGAATCTATGATATGCATAAAGTTTGACGGATGAAGTGACTGTTGGAAAAATGGAAATAAGTTCCTTACCCCTTGAAAATCATGTGTACTGTTCAGAACTTGTAATTTCAGTATCTCAATCTTCTATTAACTAAGAAGAGTTTATCAGGAAACCCAATAATAAAATGAGTCCACAAGAATTCTCATATCCTAAAAAATTTGAGGGAAACAAGTGTGCACTTGCTCCTCTCTCTTATCTTCATGTCAAAATCTTGCATCAATCTCTCCNTCCACAAGAATTCTCATATCCTAAAAAATTTGAGGGAAACAAGTGTGCACTTGCTCCTCTCTATCTTCATGTCAAAATCTTGCATCAATCTCTCCTTTCCCTGTGTCAGAAGCACCCTCTCTCCTTTCCAAAGCTAATGCTACTACTTATGCTCTTGACCATTTCTCCTGTGTCTTTCAAGATCTTGCACATTAAATTATGTGTCTCCATTTCTCACTTTTTGAAAACTAAATATTACTATTTACTTACCAATATGCACAAATCACCCCAATATTTTTAAAAACAAAACAGCAAAACTTGACTTCAACTTGCTTATCTCTCTAATCCCTAAACTAATTCTTACTTTCCTCTACTGTTTCCATTTCTTTCCATAGATACACATTCGTTTACCTCTGGCTGTATATTTTCCACCCATGCACTCGACTGAAATAACACTCTGTAAGGCACAAGTGACTGTGCCACGTACAGTTTGTGGTTCTTTCTCAGGATCACCGTTGTTGAACTCTGCAGCACTAGATAAAGTTGGCCAATTGTTGACCAGGTATACATTATTGGGAATCTTTAAGTTATCAGTACAGGAACACAATCTAAACCTCTTTAGCATAAGAGGAAAAACACTGGCTCACATGACAGGGAGTTGTAAGGGGTATTTTGTTTTTGAGATCACTGAATATGAGGGCTCTCTTCCTGTCTCCTCCCTCTCTGCTTCCCTCTGTTACTGACTTCATTCTCTTCTGTTACCACAGGCTCTTCCATTGAGGCTTGGCAAGCCCCTGGGAGACCCCGATTTTCTTCCTCCCAACTCCAGGAAACAGCATGTTTTCTATTCCTGCATCTGTACATCAATTCCAAACATGCCATATAATTGGCTCTGCTGAAACCACATGTCATCTATTCTTGGGCCAACTTCTGTTGCCAGGGGCATAGATAGTGTGATTGGTTCCAGCCTAGGCCACATGCTCAGTCCTGTGCTGGGCTTGTGGTACAGCACTGTAATCCAGGCCCAGGTAAGGGAAAGGAATTCCCCAAAGGAAAATGAAGAATTGTCCAGTTTGCCTGAAATACTGAGTGTATGCAGCAGAGTAGTATCAAGCATGGAAAACCTTGAATGTCAGGATATGAAATTCAGACTTTAGTCTATAGGTCAAAATTTTGGAGGCTGAATGGTGAAAATATGAAAGTTGTGCCTTAGGAAGATAATTTGAATATAGTATACAAGCTAAATGGCAGAGGGAAGAGTCTAGAGCAAGGATATCAGTTAGGCAGCTATTGTAATTTTCCAGAAAAGATTATTTCAGGAATAAAAAGTCAGGCAAAAATACCAGAGAAGTTGCAAATAGAACCATCTCTGCTGCCTGGTAGCAACTATCACACATTTAACTCTTAGCATGAAAATGAGTGCAATAGGGCGATGCTTACTGATTCATTAGGAGTTCATTTAATCCAAATGTTGCTTCCTTCCCCTGCCCTCACAAGTTGCTACAATTTTGGCTAACTTTAAAGGTAAATCCATAATATGGATTTTTTTTGTTTATTCAATGGCTGTTCTAAAGTTTTAGCCTATAAATTCTAATAATTATAATCCTGCACCTTACTTTTAGACAGTGGTTACAGCTTCCACATATATTATCTCTATACTCATAACACTATGATTTAGGTACTCTCCATTTATAAGCGAGAAAATTGAGGCTCAGAATAGTTTTTAAAAACAGCCCAAGATCCTATGATTAGTACATTACAGAGGCAGAATTCAATCCTCAGCTTTCCAGCACCAAATTCAAGGTCTTGCCTTTAAGCCTATTGCTTCCCCAAGTTTCCCTAGTCTCGGGTTCTTCCTAGTCTAGTACTGACCCAGCTCTAGGCCGGAGAGGACTACCAGACCCTCTTAGATGCAAATAAGTGTTTTGAAGGCCAACCTAAAATGAGCTCAAAGGGGATCTAGGGATAGGTAGGCAAGAGGAAAGTAACAGAGAAAGATGGGAAGTGTAATTCTTGCCAAATACCAGTCATGTAAGTGGACATTGTCATTTTTATACTTCTGAATTTCAAAAATGTAGACAAATTGGGGACTTTAGTGGATACCATTAAAGGACCAATTATTAAATTGTAACGTAGACCTTGTGATTTGTTAAATTCCTTCCTGTTATGCTTGTTCCCAGTTTAACAAATTGGAGTATTGTTACCTGGTAAGAACAACATAGGGCAAGTGCTCCCTAAGGTAAAGGCAGGTAAGAGCCCATCTAAAATGTATACATATACATTTTGATTTAAGAAAGAAATAAAACTGAACACACAAAAGTTCATGTAAACACTGTTTTCCACTAAAATATCTTGAGTTGACTATTGTTTTTTTATCATCATTCTGATAAATTTGGCAAAATCAGGTAGCTGAAGCCCAGACTGTAAGCTTCTTGCTTTTCATATGACTTAGAAATTCCCAGAGGTCATCAAAGAATGGGCTGCCATGAAAAATTAACATGCCTTTCTTTTTAGACAATTGATGAAGCACAGATGTTTTATGCTTCACTGAATCACAACTATGAGGGAAAGTACAGAAAGCCCAGGAAACAAAATACGTATATGTCAGATAAGAATGAAGATGAGCTGTTACATGGAATGAACGCCAGCGTTTCGCAGACGACTCTGGTGGACAGTTTCCCGCCGGAGAGCCAGGCAACAGAGGAAAACATTCATGATGATCCCGTTAGACTGTTTGGATTGATTCGTGGGAAGACAGAACCTGTAAACTAGCTGGACTGTGATTTGGCTCTTGTTGAAGAAGATTGTGAAAGAAAGCGAGATCCCTCTATGACACAGCATGGTGTGGTAGGGTGTTCATCTGATCACTGGTTGGTGAGATGGTGANAGAGAGTCACTGATCGAGCCCACAACCCAGGCATGTGCCCTGACCGGGAAACGAACCTTGATTGCCTGGATCCTAGGTCAACCGCTCAACTGCTNTGAAAGAAAGCGAGATCCCTCTATGACACAGCATGGTGTGGTAGGGTGTTGATCTGATCACTGGTTGATGAGATGGTGGNGTTGGTGAGATGGTGATTTAGCTCTTATCATGAGTTTATGTTCTTGCACACTGAATGGAATGTCATGAAAATTAGTTATTTGAATTAGTTATTTGAATTCACTTTAAAAATGTCTAATAGTAAAATGTAAAATAAAATCAAGTTTGCAAGTTGAGCTTGATGACAATGTCACAACTTCAACAACAATGCTTAATACTCAGTGAAATAAAACCGAATATATATATATATATATATATATTTTTTTTTTTTTTTAAATATATCTTTATTGATTTCAGAGAGAGGAAAGGAGACAGAGAGAGATAGAAACATCAATGATGAGAGAGTCACTGATCGAGCCCACAACCCAGGCATGTGCCCTGACCGGGAAACGAACCTTGATTGCCTGGATCCTAGGTCAACCGCTCAACTGCTGAGCCACGCCCGGCCGGGCCCAAAAAATATTTTAAGCATTGTGTTCTGGAATACACTGGAAGAAGAATAAAAGTCAGTTTCTTAAAACATTTCTCTTTTCTAACCAAGGTGAAATACCCTATAATTGGAAGACATTTCTTTTTTTTAAATTTCTTTTTATTTTATTGAATTTATTGGGGTAACATTGGTTAATAAAATTATATAGATTTCAGGTGTACAGTTCTATAATATATCATCTGCATATTGTATTGTGTGTACACCACCCCAAGTCAANCTTAAAATATCTTTATTGATTTCAGAGAGAGGAAAGGAGACAGAGAGAGATAGAAACATCAATGATGAGAGAGAGTCACTGATCGAGCCCACAACCCAGGCATGTGCCCTGACCGGGAATCGAACCTTGATTGCCTGGATCCTAGGTCAACCGCTCAACTGCCGAGCCACGCCCGGCCGGGCCCAAAAAATATTTTAAGCATTGTGTTCTGGAATACACTGGAAGAAGAATAAAAGTCAGTTTCTTAAAACATTTCTCTTTTCTAACCAAGGTGAAATACCCTATAATTGGAAGACATTTCTTTTTTTTTAATTTCTTTTTATTTTATTGAATTTATTGGGATAACATTGGTTAATAAAATTATATAGATTTCAGGTGTACAGTTCTATAATATATCATCTGCATATTGTATTGTGTGTACACCACCCCAAGTCAAAGTCTCCCTCCACAACCATTTATCCCCCTGTATTCTCTTCTCCCTCGCCCACCCCGCTTTCCCTCTGGCAGTCACCATACTGTTGTGTGTGTCTATGAGGCTTTTTTTTTTTTGCTTAATCTCTTTACTCTTTTCTCCCAACCCTCATCCCCTTTAATAGCTGTCAGTCTGTTTCTACTCTGTTTGTTTATTTATTTTGTTCATTAGATTCCACATATAAGTGAATTCATATGATATTTGCCTTTCTCTGGCTGGCTTATTTCACTTAGCATAATACTCTCCAGGTCTGTCCATGCTGTCGCAAAAGATAAGATTTCCTTCTTTTTTGCAGCTGAGTAGTATTCTATTGCATAAATGTACCACAGCTTTTTTTATCCACTCATTTCCTGATGGGCACTTGGGCTGCTTCCAAGTTTTGGCTGTTGTAAATAACGCTGTAATGGATATAAGAGTGCATGTATACTTTCAAATCAATGTTTCAGGTTTCTTCGGATATATTCCCAGACGTAAAATCACTGGATTATAAGGTGGAAGAAATTTCTGATTGAAATACATGTGAGACAGTTAAATATATTCCTAAGAGAAGTGGGATACTGTTCTTAAAACGTATTTTTTTCCAAACAGAAATATATTTATTAGTTTTAAAAAATACTATAAAATAAATGCATGCTTCTTGTAACAATAAACAAGTTTCAAAAGGAATTGAGAAATTCCACTAGCCAAAAATAATCATTATGAGCAACTTCCTATATATCCTTCTAAATATTTTTCTGGGCATGCCAACATACATATGTCAATTGTTTTTGATTTTTTAATAAAAAAAGGAGAGATTACTGTTTATGTGTTAAACTTTTTTCACTTAACAATTTATTATGGATTTATTTTCCTTGTGATTTTTAACTATAACTAAATACAATTATATACAGGGTGGGGCAAAAGTAGGTTACAATTGTATGTGAAGCACAGAGTTTATTCTTGTATTATTATTTATTATTGTATTTTTTCATATGAGTAACTGTAAACCTACTTTTGTCCCACCCTGTATTATAATTTAGTGCTTGCATAGCATCTCATTGATGACTACATCAGAACTTATTTAAATAATTTTGAAGTACACTTAGCTAATTTCCAACTTCTGTTTTTTGCTTTTACAAATAACAATGTGATGAGAATTCATCTCCCCGTACGTTTGGGTACTTGTCTGACTTCTTGCCTAGCAGGAAAGGAATTGCTGCCTCAAAAGGTGTGCATATTGGGAGTCTCTAGAGACTACATTACTGAAAGGTCCAGAGTTTCAATCCTGTGTTCAGTTTCAATCCTGATAAGTGTTCCTAATCATCCCTCCCAGAAGATAGTTTTTAAAACATTTCTGTTATCACTGCCCAGGAAGCCTGCGGCCTCTGCCCAGAGCGCGGTGGATTTTGTTCAGGCTGCTGCGGGTCTTTCTGGAGCTCCCCCTGCAGCTCAGCGTGAATCAGAGCCTGGCGCAGCGGCGGGGAAACAGGCTCCCTGTCCCGTGGAGCTCACAGGCTCGCAGAAACGACGAGCAGCAGGTTAACAACAGAAATGTGTAGCTATTAGTACTAAAAAAGACTATGAAGAAAACAGAAGGTTGAGGAATAATAATGGCGAAAAGGCATCTCTGAAGAAGAAATTTTGAATCGGAGAACTGAGGGAAGAGAAGGAGTCATCTCTGTAAAAAGAGGAAGGACGACTACGTGGTTGTGTGAGAATTCCATCCGTACTTGGAAGTACCTACTTCTGTCAACAATTATTTTCATTATGAACATGTATAAAATTAAATAATTTAAAATGAAAAATTTGAAGTTGCCCACAGTGTCGTAGGAAACGCAAAATATAGTGATACCTGAGGGTGGAAGAAAAGGAATCAGGTTTCTGATTCCAGAGAAAAGCCAAAACACCACAAGAAATAAAATTATTGATTAACAATTACATATTGACTTTAAGTTTTACTTTCAAATTAAAATAAAGTCTTTGCTGTCATATGTTTATATTATGTTACATTTCTATATCTATGCACCATGGTTCAGTGAAAATAAAGTTTGATTGTATTTTTGGCAGTTATTTTTTCCTATAACTATTTTCAACATTCACTTACATTATTTACCTTGCTCCCAAAGATATTTAAACTTTTGCTTCTGTTTTATACCCTTTGAATTCCACTCAAAAACATTTTGAGTTTTATGCATCAAATATACCTAATGACTGATAACTGGGAAGACTTTTAACTACAAATTCAAATTCTACTATAGACGTAAGGCTATTCAAGTTATCTATTTCCTGTAGAGTGGACTTTAGTAGTTTGTGTCTTTCAAAGAATTTGTCCCTCTCATCTATGTTGTTAAGTTTACTGGCATAAAGTTGTTCAAAATATTTCCATATTAGCCTTTGAATACCTGTAGAATCTATAGTGATTTCAACTCTCTTTTGTACTAGCAATTTGTTTCAATTTCTCCTGATCTGTCCAGTTTTATCAATTATATTGATTTCCTCAAAGAACAAGTTATTGTTCACATGATTTTTCTATTGTTTTTATATTTTGTTTTTATTGATTTGTCCTCTGATCAATGTTATATTTTTTTCTTCTGCTTATTGTGTGTTTCATTTGTTCTTCATTTTTTAGCTGCTTAAGGTGGAAGTTGAGGTCATTAATATGAGACTTTTCTTCTTGTTTAAAATAGTGATTTAGTTTTATAAATTACCCTTCTTAAATTATTGTTTTGCTTTAGCTGCATCCCACAACTGATATATTGTGTTTTCATTTTTATTCATTGCTATTCTTTCAGGCTCCGTTTTGATTTCTTCTTTGACCTATGGGCTATTTAGAAGTGTGTTACTTAGTTCTCTAATATTTGAGGATTTGGGGGGGATCTCTTTCTTTACTGATTTCTAATTTAATTCCACTGTGGTCAGGAAACATGACTTAAATCCTTTTAAATTTACTGAGCCTCCCTTTATTGCCCAGGATATAGTTTATCTTGCAGGATGATGGTGTGCACTTGAAAAGAATGCATATTTTATTGTTATTGGGATACTGTTCTATAAATTTCAATCAGGTCAATTTGGTTGATGGAACTTTTCAAATCTTCTATATTCTCATTGGTTTGGCTTATTTGTTCTATTTATTAAGGAGGAAATTACTAAGAGGGAAATGTTGAAATTCCTGACTATAATTGTCTAAATAAACATTTGTCTATTTCTCCATGCCATTCTAACAGTTTTTGCTTTATGTATTTGGAAGTTATATTATTAGGAGCATAAATGTTTAGAAGTATTATATCTTTTTTATGAATTAATCCCTTATCATTAAGAAATGTACTTTTATTCTTGCTAGTATTATTTTCTATGAAATCTACTTTGTCTAATATTAAGACTGTCATTCCAGATCTCTCTTGATTAATGTTAGCATGGCATATTCTTTTCTATCTTTTTAAAACTTATTTACATTTTTATATTTAAAATGCATTTTTTTTCTTGTTGGCAGCATACAGTTGCATACAATTTAATCAGTTAGAGTATTGCTTTTAAACTTTGTTAGCTAAGACCAGAGTAGTGCCTTGCCTCAGTAGTAGGTCAAGTTAATTTGATTAAAAGCAGCTCTGTGCCCAGGAGACATGCCTCAGTGGCTGGGCATCGACCTGTGGCAGGAGGTCCTGGTTCAG